ATACGTACAACGTTCTACGTTGCAACTTACTGACTGACTTATCAATAATTATTCTATCATCGTTTACAACTTCATCTCTAATTTTTATGATTTTATCTTGACTATCAGTTGTTTTCGCTTCTTTCTTATATTGATTCGAACTAATCTTCATTGATCGTGGTATGTAATGCAATATTTTTACGAAAATGTCACTAATATAAATTTAGGCTGGTTCGCAGCTAGTCAGAAACTTTGAAAAATCATGAGTTCTTTTTTATTCTACAACGAGTGTTCGTTTTGTTTTATTTAAACAAAAAAACATCAATTCAGATATTTAACCATTTAATACAAAAACATTCTGCAAGTGGAACTTTTGAATAATTTGCCACAAAACGTTCTTTTCATTCTGTTGAAAAGAGATAAAACAATGATTAGACTAAAATCACGTGGATTCATTTTATTTCATGTTTTAATCGACTTAGAAATTTAAAGATAAGAGATGATAAGTGTTTTTTCACTTTATGGACACAGTAAGAGTAAATAGATGAATTAATAATGATTTTGAGATGGTGGGGAAAATTTGTAGCTCAGATGGATGATTGTGGTGGTGTTTCGTTCTCTGTGAACTAGATGTTTTGGTTGTGGAGCTTTCATTGCTCTTCTGAATAAACAACATCATCCTCATATACTCCAGATAGAAGTGAAGCTGCAACAATCAACAAACACATCGACCTCAAAAGGGGGATACAATCAAAACAAGGGTGTAAACAACGACAACTTTAAAGTCAACAACAACTAATCAAGATCGAGGTTAACAGAACAAGCTACAGGTCAAACGTGGAGAAATTTGAATGCTTCACTTCTATCTGAAGTTTATGCTGATGATGTTGTTTGTTCAGAAGAACAATCAAAGCTCCACAACCGAAACAACCAGCTCAGAGAATGAAACACCATCACAGTGATAATGATATTTTGTTTTTTTTGTCAATGTTCATCAAATAAATCATAACAGAAAATTTAATATCATTATTCAGAAAGTTAATTTTTTTTCCTCGCATTATCTTGTAAGCTAAGATATTTTAGTGTAACTGACTTATAGTTGACTATATTTATTTGAACGATATACTGCACAGGCAATCAATATGTCATTTCTTTAAGCAAATATCTTCTAGTATACATAATGTATAATTTGTCAATATAATATTGCTTTAGGAATGGTCTACTTTACTACACAAACTATCAATCACATATTACTTATCTCAGAAGCTTCTTCATTCTTGGCGGGTTAGTGTTCGATTAAATTTCGAGGAGGAATGAGAAGTCTCAATTGAATTTTACGGACTTACATCTTTTGTGTAGTAAGCGAAATATTCATCTGACCATTAACGGATGACTGTGCTGCTCAGTGATGTGCTTTCTTTTAATTCATATATGAAATGTAACCTTTTAAAAACAGACTATCTTCGTATTTTTTTAGTATTCAATCATAGGTGACTTTGAATCACTACTCATGTATTTTGGGACTCCTGAATAAGCATTTCTGAAGTTAACAATGAAGTACAAGAAAAATATAACATTTGATCGGTGAATTAGTGAACACTTATTAACTGAGGGTTTCACAACATGTGCTGTTTACGTCCAACCGACGGCTACAATGATGAGCGGTATTATCTAGTGTATCATTATCATAGCAGGTAAAGAGTACAAAAACACCAGTCTATGAACTAATTAACAATTGGACTGAACCATGTTAATAGGTGTAGATTATCATTTTCGGGTCTAAGCGATTATCGTACGCTATGATGAGTAATTCTGGATAACATAGCTCAGAATAACTTTCATTGGCTCATGTACGGTCACATTTCGCCTCCTCTTAGATCCTACATTTTGAAATACCTTATAGGTTTTTCGCATCAATAATTAATAGCTTTTCCATACTGTATATTCTATTAATACTGTTACTAAATCTACAATCCTAGTGTTTACACCAGAAATTCTGTTCAACCGGTCTCATGGAGTGTGGCAACTTGACAGCAAGTAAACATATACTGGGACCTGCGTTACTTCATTGAATTGTTGTGTTTTATAAAATGATTGCTTGATAGGACTGTCAGTCAGTCAGTTGCAACGTAGAACTTTGTACGTAAGTACATCAGTTCATGTAGCCATACCACATTTGCACGGAGACGCAATTGTCAATTCAAATCCTATAGTGGTAAAGATAGTAGGATTACTACTGGTAACAGAGAGGATTAGGGTTCCAAGATATTATTCAAGAATTATAATTCAGTGAGATAGGTTTAGAAAGACAAAAGTAGAGGTACTGACGAATCCAGAAGATTAAGATTTGAGAGAACACAAAGAGTAGATACACATGCACCATTGCAAACGATTTTGAGCCATGTTGTTCAAGGTTACTATCGTCTCGCGGACCTCATCCAGGTAGCCTACATCTACCAACATGACTCAGTCCACTTGTCAGTGACTTTCTGAATTTCTGCCATGTTTTAGTCTGGCCGCCCTTAACTTTCTTCCAACCTACTCCTACACTACAAACCAAAGCTCGTCGAGGCAGTCGGTGGTCGGGTATTCGTAACATATGTCCCAACCACCTCAAATAATGGAGTTTCAATACTTCGTCTATTGATCTGACATTCTGACCTAGTACTCGCTTTCTAATAGCATCATTGCTTACTCGCGGGTCCCACGATACATGAGCACTGCTTCTAAGACATCAAGGATCCATTAGTTTGATAGATTTGTAAAACGAATAATAATAAAATGTCTCTTTAAATTTACTTATTAACTAACATTATACCGATAAATTGCAAATTTTATTCAAAACTTTAACACCTAGTTATGATGGTTTTGCTCAAAAAAAATTAAAGAGTTTGTGTATTTATTTTGACTTTATTATTATTATTATGACTATTAAATAGAGAAAAAAAAGAACTTACTTTTAACTTCAAATTATTTATTTATAATTATGCACTTTTTTTGTATATCAAAACCAAAAAAACGAATAAATAACTTTTCTGCAATCCACTGGATCATGTAGTTTGCTTAGAAATAGCAAAAGAACGACCTAGACTTTATTGAAACCATGAATTGATCAATGTTAGACCAATATTAGAAACCTGAAAGCACTGGACCAGCTTGGTGAGGAATCTTCTCCGAGTTCTAGTGGGAAGTCATGACCAGTGAAGTTCAAACCTGTTCGGATGTATACAGTATATGAGGTTGCGCAACTCCGTGAATTTGATCAAGTTAGACATTAACACTGTTCGATAACGGCTCAGTGGTCTAACGGTTACGGCGTTCGCGCTCGATACCGAAGGTCCTGGGCTCGAGTCCTGCGGGAGTCGCAGATGCGCACTGCTGATGAGTCCCATACCAGAACGAAACGGCCGTCTTTCAGTGCTTCCAGGTTCCTAATGTTGGTCTAATATTGATCGATTCACGGTTTCAATAAACTTAATAATCTTCACAACAACCCCGCAATGCGACCTAGACTTTGTAAATTTTCCTAAAAAAGAAAAAATCCAATCAACAAAGTCATTTTTTGATGATTAATGAATATTTTTAAATAATAATTTGCACGGAAAAAAAAATACTTTGATCATTGTTTTAGAATAAACTCCTATATTTTTGCTCCCAAATTAATTATTACACTCATTTATTTCAATTATCAACTGTAATTAATTTTCTTTCAATACAGAAAGAATCGATGACAAATGAATGTGGTACATGCAAAGTTCTAGTTCAAAACAGAGAAAATAAAATAACACTGTACTGAATAATGTGTGTGTGTTCGTTTCTTTTTTGGTTTAGGGCAAAAAAAGAAATATTTTTTGAATTATTTCATCAAATGACTTGTTATGACATTGGATTTTATTTATAGAATAAAATTTATGCATTTTTTTGTTCACGATTATGAGAATGGGAGAATTTCTTCTTTTTTTAAATAGTGGCTGACCGATTCGTCTAAAATTAAGGGAAGTCTTTCTGTTATTTCTGTTACCATTTTTCAGAAGCATTGGATGGTCATTTAATCATAGTATGAGACTCCTCAAA